AAATGAGCTTTCATAATCTTTGAGTATAACCGGGAGTATTTATCACTGTTTTTGTAATGTGATATATTAGATTATGCTATCATTCATTTATTATTCTATTTTTCTCTCTTAGTCCATTTTTACTGCCATAACAAAATATCTGAGACTGAGAAATTTTTTTAAAGGAAATTTAATTTTCTCATAGTTCTGGAGGCTAGGAATTCCAAAATCAAGGCACTAGCAGGTTTAGTGTTTTGTGAGGGTCTTTTTACTAAATTCTCACATATCAAAAGATCAGAAGAGAGCAAATCCACTTCATTGAGCTCTTTCATGTGTCCTAAATCTATCCTTATGGACTCTTCCCTCATAATCTAAAATCAACATTGTGAAGATGACCATCTTACCTAAGGCAATCTACAGATTTAATGCAATACCCATCAAATGACCAGCAACATTCTTCTCAGATCTAGAAAAAAACAACACAGGAATTCATATAGAAACACAAGCAACCAAGAATAGCCAGAACAATCCTCAGCAAAAAAAAAAAAAAAAAAAAAAAGCAGGTGGTATCACATTACCATTCTTAAAACTTTACTATAAAGCTACAATAATCAAAACAACTTGATATTGGTACAGGAACAGGCATATGGGCCAATGGAATAGAATTGAGATTCCAGAAGCAAAACCTCAATTTCTCAACCAACTCATCTTCAACAAAGCCTCCACCACCTACCACTGGGGAGAGGAGAATCTATTCAGTAAATGGTGCTGGGAAAACTGGCTGACCACATGCTGAAGACTCAAACAAGACCCCTATCTATCCCCATACACAAAAATTAACTCTAAATGGATCAGAGACCTAAATGTAAAACCTCAAACCATAAGAACCTTAGACAATACGGGACACAGCAGGGCTCGGTGGCTCGGCCTGTAATCCCGCGCCTTTGGGAGGCTGAGGTGAGTGGATTGCCTGAGCCCGCGGGTTCGAGACCCGCCTGGGCAGCGAGACCTCATCTCTACAATAAATCAAAAAATCAGCCGGGTGTGGTAGCACATGCCTGTAATTCCAGCTACTTGAGAGGCTGAGGTGGAAGGATCGCCAGAGAGCGGGCACTGTACTCCAGTCTGGGCGACAGAGTGAGACTCCAACTCAAAAAAAAAAGAAAGAAAATGTGGGACACACTCTTATGGAAATTGGTACTGGCATCCAATTCCTGAACAAAACCCGAAACCCACAGGCCATAAGAGATAAGATAGACAAGTGGGACCTCATTAAACTGACAAGCTTCTGCAAAGCCAAAGAAACCATCAAGAGAGCAGGGAGACAGCCCACAGACTGGGAAAAAGTATTTGCCAACTCCAAGTCCGACAAAGGCTTAACATCTTGGATCTACAAGGAACTCAAACGTGCTGAAAAGAAAATAAACAATCCCATTACAAAGTGGGCAAAAGATATGAACAGACACTTCTCAAAGGAAGACATCAGAGCAGACAACAGACACATGAAGAAATGTTCGAACTCACTAATCATCAAGGAGATGCAAATCAAAACCACACTGAGATACCATCTAACTCCAGTCAGAATGTCAATTATCAATAACTCAAAAAATAACAGTTGCTGGAGAGGGTGTGGTGAAAAGGGAACACTTACACATTGTTGGTGGGAGTGCAAACTAGTGCAACCTCTGTGGAAAACAATGTGGGAATTCCTAAAAGCTCTAAATATTGACCTCCCATATGACCCCGCAATCCCCCTACTAGGAATATACCCTGAAGAACTCAAATCACTCTATGAAAAAGATACCTGCATGCATATGTTTATCGCAGCATTGTTCACAACAGCAAGAACCTGGAAGCAACCATGCTGTCCATCAAAAGAGGACTGGATTTTTAAAATGTGGTACATATACATGATGGAATACTACGCAGCCATAAAAAAGAACAAAATCATGAATTTTGTAGCAATCTGGATGGAACTAGAGTCTATAATACTGAGTAACCTCTCAGAGAAACAAAGATCTGAGTATCACATGTTCTCACTCATATAGTGGACCTTGAACATCTATCGTAATACTATAAGAAAAGGATTGACAGTGGTGGGAAACTATGGGGTGGGGAGGAAGGGGAAGGGAGGTGGGATTAATGGTAGTAAACATCTGTCTGGGGATGGGGAGACACCCCTTTTCAACAAGGGTGCCTGAACAAAACATATTTGTATACCTAACCCTTAACTGTACCCCACAATACCAAAATTAAAAATATTGATTAATAAAAAAAACCAAAAACAAAACAAAAAGTATTTTTGATCAAGATATATAAGTTCATATATAATTATGTATATAAATAAATAAACATATTTTGCATACACAAATATATAATATTTAGTATACATAAATAAATATTATTTACGTAAAAATAGCAAGAATAAACCTTTCTTCCCTTACAAAAATCTATCTTAAAACTGGATTTTTGATTAAATGATGGAACCCTGGAAGAATCTGCATTGGCATGTGTGGCAATATAAACTTCAAGCATTCTATCTGATGCAACAAAACAAGAAAAATAAATGAGTTGTGTAATTGAGTAAAGGAAGCAAAAGGAAAACTTCAGAGAAGCAACCAAAATATTCATGACCAAATACAAAATACACATACACACACACATACACCCCCCACCTCCCACAATGACTTTCCACAAACAATATCAGCAAATATAATGAAATATCTGGCAACAAATGTAGGAAGTAGGCAGCACTTGATGATGAAAATTGTTAGACTTTACTGAGAGGCATGAAAGAGTCTTAAATACATTGAGAAACAAATGGTATTCCTGAATAGGAAGGAATAATTTTTCAAAAGAATACTGTAACTATATTATTTTCTCCAAATAATTCATAAATGTTTATTACTTTTAATCAAAATGGTGAAATTTCCTTCAAAATGAATATTAGAATTCATCTAGAAGAATAAATAAACTCCCCAGAAAGAAAGCGATGAATAGGGAATAACACTCCCAGATGATGATACTTACCACACCATATAATTCAGTAATTAAAGCAATGTGGTGCTTAAGCAAGAATTGTCAAATGGACCAATGACACAGGGAAGTAGTTTCAGAAAGAGACTCAAATACTAATTAAAGTTTGACATTTGACCAATATCATATTCAAAATCAAGGGAGAAAGAAGAGAATGTTTGATAAATGGTTGATAGACAACTGATTATATATTTGAAAGGAAAATGTTAGATTTCTGCTTTATTCCATACCCCAGAAGTATTGACCCATTAATTGTAAAATGAAAGAAAGGGAAGGAAAAGAGATGGAGAGAGAGAGAGAGAAGTAGGGAGAGAGAGAGAGAAAGGGAGGAAGAATAAAACAAAAGAAAATGTATCTTACTTTAAAATCTGATCTAAACCTAAAACAAAGAAAAAAATCATAAAGGATAGCTAAATTTTAATACATAGATATCAGACATTTCTGTTCATAGGGGAGAAAGTCATTATTTAATTTTTAAACAAAAGCAAATATCTTTATCAGAGTTTCACAAAGAAATAAGAAAAAGCATTTACAGATCATTAGGAAAAGAACAAGAATATAAGCAGGCAATTTGTGAAAGGAAAATAAAAAATAAACAATAAGAAGAATGTATTTAGTGTTTCATGCAAATTAAACAGCAGTGTTCTTTCCTTTTCCCTGTTTATCAAAGTACTACTTTTTCTTTTGTAAAATTATGTTCTTCAATGCTAACAAGGCTGCAGTAGAAATACGTACAGATATAATGGGGGTTTAAATCGGTTCAGGCTTTCTGGAGGATATTATAGCACTATGTATCAAACCCTTTAATATTTTGTTAAATCTACTTTTAGTAATATTTCTTAAGAAAATAATTAAGAATGTAACCCAAGATATGTGCAAAAATGTGGCCACAATTTATCTATCCCTAATTTTAGAAATTTATAAAGAATAGCCTTCATGCCTTCAAAAAATCTTTGGTAAAATGTTTCTAAAAGTTTGACAAAGATGCTCAGGAAGTAATATGTTAAATGAAAAAGGCTGATGTGTAATTTTAATCATGTATAGCATGAACATGAACTTAAATTTTTAAAACCAAACAAAGATAGATAAGAGAGAGGGAGAATAGAAGCAAACGAGAGAAGCTAAGTCATGAGAATATAGATGTGTTCTTATATCTTACTGGATGTTTGTTTCTTAATTTACTGAATAAGCTTTGCTTTTAATACCAGAAAAAGGATGTCATTTTAAAAATAGTCATTGCAGCCGGGCTTGGTGGCTCAGCCTGTAATCCCACACCTTTGGGAGGCTGAGGTGAGTGGATTGCCTGAGCCCACGGGTTCGAGACCCACCTGGGCAGCGAGACCTCATCTCTACCATAAATCAAAAAATCAACCGGGCATGGTAGCGCACACCTGTAGTTCCGGCTACTTGGAAGGCTGAGGCGGAAGGATTGCCGGAGCCCAGCAGGTGAGGTTGCGGTGGC